TATACCGGAATAGTATTATTAAATTTACATTAGCACTATTAGATGTCGATCTACGGCTGTTTTTATTAATAATTTGTTTAGTGAAGCCGAATGATAAAAATTGCGTTAAGTCTACGTCGATCGAGATTTTGCCGTGGGTAACAAAACTCCGTCAAATCAAATAGCCCAGTGACGTGTAGAATAGATCAAATGGCTTGCTATGTGTCGCAAATTATTCGTTTAACGGCAATGTATATGAGTAATATGAAAAAACTAATGATGAGAGATTTAATTTAGTTAGATCTACTTGCGCAACACATCAACGCAAATGTCTAGCCTAGACAAGTGCAGATCACGTCGGTTCTAAATTCTACGTCGCTTGGCCTAGACTCGTGTATTCTGAGCGGACTGACACAATCATGCAGCTGGTCCAGCTAGTTTTAAAAGTTAAAGCAAGAATTTCATATTTTTTAAGAAAGTCAAAACATAATTATTTCTATATCTTTTGCTCAATAGGCTGTCAACTCAATATTATAGGATCATAGGTATCATTATGGCACTTATAAAATCATTCACACCGGAAATAATAACACAATTACCACCTTTGTTGTTCTACCCCCCCCCCCCCCCATGGAAAAACTATCTGCCAACATTTGAATTAGAAGTTGAAAATGATATTTTGGCCAATTTCTCAACTGGCAATAGTGAATTATAGGAATAATAGGATTATTCTGTAACAAGGTAGGACTGTTTATAGATACCATCTATTTTAAAGCTTTACTTTAATACATTTTAAAAATATAACTTAAAAATATGAAATTCACTCGGCACAGCTGCAGTCTGAGTGTGTTTTGAAATGAACGTCGCCACTTACATCGCGGTAGTCAACAAAGTCCAAACCTACATTGCCGGTAATCAAATTCGAGGGGCTTTCATATTCAACTTAATAATAATAGTCTCTGTTACTACATGATGTATGTATAGGTGCGCGTGTTTTACATACATGTAAATATAGTTGGTGTTTTTGTTGTTTTATAGCCATTGATAATGCTGTTGCGTAGGTAGCCTAATGTTTTGTTTGTATTTGTATGCTGTCTCTAATAGCCTAATGGGGTGTTAAGATACAATATAATTTTATCTGATCTTATATTAGCCTTAGAAGAAGCAATTGACGATTTTTATATCCCTTCCACATACCCGGTTGAGAGTTAAAATAATAGAACTTACCTTCGGCACGAACCAAAAAACCAATATGGCGTCCCAGAAGCATCTTTCGCGGCAACATTTAGAGTCACGTTATCAGTTTCCGCGGGAAAAAAAACCGCTAGTGTTACCAGATAATTTACTGAAGAATTAACCGGAATATTTGTCAGCTTCTAGTTGTTTTACAATAAGCCTTAAATAAAATGTATTATAGTTTGTATTGTGTTATTAAATCTCGATCTACGTCGTTAACCAATACAACTGTACCCAAGATCATACGTCAATTTCTATAGATAAGCGCATTGCAATTCCTGTTTTATGCACTGAATTTGTGTAGCAAACGCTGCACACTACACAATATGCATTAATCACCATTTTCTGTGTTTTGTGTTATTATTTCAATTGATAAACACCGGATGTAAAAACAGCGACATTTAGGTGCGGGAGAGGCATCTCGTTTAAAGTTCATAATACATTTTTATAATACTTGACGGACGCAAACGCCTTTTCTTGCTTTCCCAACCCGTGTGCTCAGCAACATGAAAGCAAGCCAGTATTGCCTATTTAGTACACCAATAACTTTAATGCATTAAAGGAAATTATGATTTCCGAAAAATTATAAAACAAATAACTGACCGATGTCGCACACCGCCGAGTGGGACCCGACGAAATGTTTCAATCCGCGATCAATGCAGTACAAATTCGCCGTGTTCAATGACAAGAAAGTGAAAATGTTTTATTATACTTAACAATCATCGAATTTGGGGATCTTTATTTGACTGACAAGAAAGCAAAATATTTTCTTCCAAATAACATTCTGAAAGTTCCGCTTTCACTTTCTCTCGGGATTTTGAATGTGACTTTTTACCTAAATGGCTGCCGGGAACAGGGAATGTCAGGCAATGTCATGACCTTGATTCAGGTTACAACCCCAAAATTGACCTTGCGGGTGCGGGTCACGACTTTGACCTTGAGATTTATTCGTGATATCTGGGTTGTTCATGAAGTTTTGGGACTTTTTCGATCCCAAGGTCAAGGGTCAGGTCAAAGGTCAAGGCCCCATTCGAAAGGTCAATGAGTTGCCTATCCATGGTCATGACCTTTGATTTGCCGCGCAGACCAGGGGCCCCACCATGTGCCCGGGAGCATCGAACTCAGTAGATATTTTGGTGACCTTGACCCTTTCTGATGACCTTGACCTACCGGGGTCATGTGGACCAAGATGACATTTTGGAAGGTCAAGGTCCAGTGGTCCTGACTTTATTAGATGGGCCCCTAGGGTTCAAAAACCAAAATACTTCCGGGGCCCCTAGCGGGTCAAGGTCACGACTTTTGGTTGGCGATTTTAAAAAATGAAGAACACATGTTGGGTCAGTCTATCGGGTCACCAAACCCCGGGGCGATCGGATGACATTTTTGGGGTAAATTTCCCTAGAAAGTGAAATAGCCGAGCATTACAGCGGTGTGGTCTAAGGGCAGATAACTCGCCCATCCCAAATCGGATCCGACGACCTTGAGGTCGTGGCTATTTAAACTAAATTGACCCCTGGGAGTCTCGTGGTGACCTTGGTTTGACAATCAGAGGTCAAGGTTCGAACTGCTATATATGACGTTTCGATAACGTTATGACAATGTTGTGACAACGTTTTAACAACGTTGTGACAACAACCTGTATATGAAGTTTTGATAACGTTGTGACAACGTTGTGACAACAACCTGTATATGACGTTTTGATAACGTTTTAAAGACGTTGTGACAACGTTGTGACCACGTTGTAACAACGCCGTGACAACAACCTGTATATGACGTTTTGATAACGTTGTGGCAACGTTGTGACAACAACCTGTATATGACGTTTTGATAACGTTTTGAAGACGTTGTGACAACGTTGTGACCACGTTGTAACAAAGCCGTGACAACAACCTGTATATGACGTTTTGATAACGTTGTGACAACAACCTGTATATGACGTTTGAATAACGTTTTGATGACGTTGTGACAACGTTGTGACAACAACCTGTATATGACGTTTTGATAACGTTTTGAAGACGTTGTTACAACGTTGTGACAACGTTGTAACAACGTTGTAACAACGCCGTGACGACAACCTGTATATGACGTTTTGATAACGTTGTGACAACGTTGTGACAACAACCTGTATATGACGTTAGAATAACGTCTTGATGACGTTGTGACAATGTTGTGACAACGTTGTGACAACAACCTGTATATGACGTTTTGATAACGTTTTGATGACGTTGTGACAACGTTGTGTCAACAACCTGTATATGACGTAAATACAACGTCGAATATTGGTCGAAAACACGTTGTACAACGTCACGACCAATATTGACGTTGTCACAATGTTGTAACAACGTTGCGTGCCCGCTGGGTATAGTCTTCTATATAGTAGTACTTATATACATTGGGAGCGCCCAGAAGAAATATATTATGGTCATTTCCATTAATTAATTTGTCTATTTACATGTACCATAAGCATAATATTAGATGATAATTAATATATGATTCGTGTGTGACAACTTTATTATATTGTGATTGTAATTAATATTTTCAATTGTGATTTTGTTAATATTCTTTTGTAAATATTGCTCTTCTATTTTCAAATTTCATTGTTCACTTCTTTAACTTCTGTTATAAAGGGCAAAATGTAAGACAGGCCTCCTGGCCTAATTTTCAACCCTTTGAAAATAAAGTTATTATTATTATTATTATTATTAAGAAACAAACTGGAAGTGAGATCGGCTAACCTTTAGTTTCCAGGTCATAAGCCTCCATGTCCGTCACATTTATTTCAAATTAAATAATTTAATTATTTCGGTATTTTTGTAACCGGAGTTCAGCTTTAACTTTAGCCTCTAGAGCGTCCACAAGATTTTTCAAAGTGATCATGGACCATAACTCTGGCCATAATTATCGAAAATTGCTGAAAATCAATATTCTTCTTTGTCTCTTGACCTTAAACACTGTGTATAGATTTAAATTAAAGTCAATCGGATATTAACTTTAGCCTCTAGAGCGTCCAAAAGCAATTGTGGACACCAGACTGACGACAATATCATGAATATGTATACGACCACATTATAAAAACTATAGCCTCTATTTGAGTATTTGTTGTCTAGTCGTTCGGATTGGACGAAAAACCGAGGTCCCGTGTACACATTGGCGTGCACGTAAAAGATCCCTTGGCAGTTGGAATTCGATATAAGAGTAGGCCGTAGTGCCGCTGTCCGGGCAAAATTTCCCTCATAGCAATTACCACACTGTATGGCGTATGCCCGTCTTCATCATCCCAGGTTAGGAGCAGAACAGTAGGACGTTAAACTCCATTTCATTTCATTTCGAGTATTTATATTTCAAACAGATGCCTTCTCATATCATCTATTTGCAAATTACATACATTCACTTCGTTTCATTGTTAAATCTTGAGTAGTTCTAATTATTAGAGCAGAATACAAAATATTGCCAAGCATTGAGCAAGGACACCACGTGACATAGGCCTACTCAAAATAAAAGTTTTGATTTCACTGGATTTTACATTAATATAGGCCTATTTGTCGTTGGTGCGTTTTGTTCTTCTGTTTTAAAATGGCAAGAACTAGTCAAAATAAAAGTTTTGATTTCACATATTTTGTCGTTGTTTATGTTACGTTTTTAAAACCAAGATGAGAATAACTTAGCCTACTCGTTCAAGCAAAGATAGTTTAGAGGCCTAGATCTACTAACTTGTTCATTGTTTTGTTTTTTTGTTGTTGTTCGTTTTTTTAAAAGTGTATATTTCATTCTGTGCATGTACTTACCTTCATGTTATCAGAGGCCATAGCTGAAGTTATACAAGTATCCTGCCTGAACAAATTACCTTTTGTCATTTGTTTATACCTGTTGGGAAGGTCAACAGTTAGGCAATTCAACATCAAGGACAGATAACTCTAGACATGTTTGGAGGCAGACCACCATTAATTTCCCCATTGACTTCAATGTTAATTCTGGTCTCTTTGCCCATCTCCAACTTTTCCCAAAATATTCGTTGGGCTGAATGCTTTTCACTACAGAGGAACAAATGGTCATGTCTTTGCACTAACATTTGTATGCGGTTGACCACCAAAATTTTGAGATACACAAACTTGAAGAAGCATACTAACCATCGGCTGCCAGGCAGGATATGCCCACATTTTGCAAGAGATGGATCGAGAACAAGCTAAAAACAAATGCGATCTTTTGTACAATCAGGGGCAATAATCCAGAAAGTTCTGGCCTGAAATGTGCAAATATCAAAAGGGACAGATCTTTGGGATATATAAAGATATATTTTAAGTTTCATCAAAATCGGATACAAATTGTGACCTCTAGAGGGTCCACAACCTTTGTATTCCACACTTCTGCGTACAAAGAGCGGCCATTTTGTCGGGCAGTATCATTTCGATTTTCCCGAAATTCGAATTCAACCTTCATTATGGTGGAATGGTGATGTTTTTAAACAGTTTTTTAAAATTGGAAAAAAATTGTGACCTTTAGAGAATCTGCAAGCTAAAAATGCGATTTTTCGAACAATCGCAGGCCTTAATCCAGGAAGTTAAGTTTGGGTATCTGCGATAATCCAAAGGAACATAGATCTTAGTGTGTAATGGAGATATATTCACAAGTTTTTTTTAAATCAGATAAAAATTGTGACCTCTACAGGGACCACAAGCTAAAAACGTGATTTTTTTGTTCAATCAAGGGCCATAATTCAGGAAGTTACGATCCGATATGTGCGAATATTGAAAAGAAACCAATGTCTTTGGGTTATAAACATGTATTTCAAGTTTGATCGATATCAGATCAAAATTGTGACCTCAGTTCCACAACATTGATTTACCAGATGTTTACAATATTTGTGTACGAGGGGCAGACATTTTGTCCTGCAGTTTTAGTCTGATTTTCATGAAATTCAAACTCAGACATTACAGTGTAACAGTGATATATTCGAACGGTTTTTTAAGCGTATAATAATTGTGACCTCTAGAGGGACCACAAGTTAAAAATGGGATTTTTCGTACAATCAAGGGCCATAATTCAGGAAGTTACGATTAGATATGTACGAACCGAGATCTTTGGGTGATAAACCTATATTTCAAGTTTCATTGAAATCGGATAAAAATCGTGACCTGTGGACGGACGGACGGACAGGGGCGACGACAATATACGTCCACATGAAAATGTGGGCATATAAAAACATGTAACTAGTTGCCGTACATATCACCGTAACCAACCTGATAACACTGTTATCCTTCCCCCTCAAATTCATGAATATTCATAGTCTCTATCATCCAGAACCAGCGGCTGCCAGGCAGGATACGCCCACATTTTCGAGAGATGGATAGAGAACAAGCTTAAAAGAAAGTGATTTTTCCTACAATCAAGGGCCATAATTCAGGAAATTACAATTCGATATGCGCAAATATCAAAAGGAACCGAGATCTTTGTGTTATAAACTTACATTTCAAGTTTCAACAAAATTGGATTAAAATTGTGACCTCTATAGGGTCCACAGCCTTGATATACCATATTTTTACGCTATTTGAGAACGAAGGGCAGCCATTTTGTCTGTCAGTTTTGGGCCGATTTTCACGAAATTCGAACTCAGCCGTCCTTAGCGTATAACGGTTATATAATAATACGTTTTTTTAAATTGGATAAAAATTATGACCTCTATAGGGTCCACAAGCTAAAAACGCGATTTTTCGTACAATCAGGGGTCATAATTCAGGAAGTTACGGTCCGATATGCGCGAATATCGAAAGAAACCGAGATCTTTGTGTTATAAACTTACATTTCAAGATTCAACAAAATCGGATAAAAATTGTGACCTCTATAGGGTCCACAACCTTGATATACCATATTTTTTACGCTATTTGAGAACGAACGGCGGCCATTTTGTCTGTCAGTTTTGGGCCGATTTTCACGAAATTCGAACTCAACCGTCCTTAGGGTTTAACGGTGATATTATAATACGTTTTTTTAAATCGGATAAAAATTATGACCTCTATAGGGTCCACAAGCCTAAAAACGCATTTTTACGTACAATCAGGGGCCATAATTCAGGAAGTTACGGTCCGATATGCGCGAATATTGAAAGGAACCGAGATCTTTGGGTTATAAACCTACATTTCAAGTTTCAACACAATCGGATAAAAATTGTGACCTCTACAGTGTTCACAAGCCAAAAACGTGATTTTTCGTACAATCAGGGGCCATAATCCATGAAGTTATGGTCTGATAGATGCCAAAATCGAAAGGAACCAAGATCTTGGGGTGATAAACCTATATTTCAAGTTTCATTCAAATCGGATAAAAATTGTGACCTGTAGACTGTTCACAAACAATTGTGGATGGACGGATGTCCGGACGGACAGGGGCGACGACAATATACGTCCACATGAAAATGTGGGCGTATAAAAATATTCTACAAATATTAGTCTGGATGCGTTGTTAACATTTGAGAAAAATTGGTCATTGGCTAGATTATCCGGTCTTTTATAATATTATTATCATAAACAAAGTCTAAGGGAGGTAACTAGTACCAAAACAATTCAAGAATGTCATTTCAAATAATCCATTTGATTGCATGTCAGTTCAATATCAATATCCCAAACGCTCCGTACGTTGAAGACTAGGAGGTTCTGGGTGACCGAGACTAGGATATTTACAAAAAACCTGGCAGAAAATGTTAATTCAAACCGTCTTCGTCCACTATAGACCAAAAAATCAACAAAGATAGGTTGCCGGGCAACGAAACATACGCCCACAGCAGCTAGATCGTCTGAACAGTCAACAAGAGTTGTCGCATACTTTTACTTTTTTCAGTAATGAAACATTTATAATACACTAAAATTATCAGAAAATCATTAGAATTTGTTTGGTTTTTATAAAGTTCTGCCCCATGCTAACGTTTAGTATACGAAACATTTAATATCATGGATTTAGCTGTTCAAGTTATCAAAATACAAGACCTTAAACTCTGTGTATCAATCTGAAGTCAATCTGACGATGGGGGCGATGACATATTTCAATGTGGGCGTATAAAAATGGGCATGCAAAAGGGGAGAAGAGAGAGAATTGCTATAAATAGACGAACTACAATTTGTGGGTACCGAGATGGTGAAATTTAATGGATCCAAAATAAATAGATGACACATATGAATTAATCGGACATTTATTTTTTTCAAAAGTATCGAGCAATCAAACTATACACTAAGTTTCATCACTCTCTATCAGATAGAATCAAGATTATTTTGTCCCAAAGCATTGACCAATGAAATTGATTAGCTCTGCTTAGCTTCAGCTTGAAATGTTAATCATTGAACTCCGTCAAGACATTCACCTAATGAACATCTACATCAAGTTTAAACATTCTACCTCAATTAAAAGCAGAGTTGTTATGTTCCAAAGTCTTGACCAATCCAATTGCTTATCGCTCCTTAGCCTAAGCAGAAAATTCTCACCATCGAACTTAGTCAAGGTAATGATATAATGATTCTATATTCGGAGTTTCATCGCTCTCACTTCATTATAACCAAAGTTATTGTGCCCTGAAGCATCAACCAATCCGATTGCTTACCTCTGCTTACCCTAAGCAGACAATGTTTATCATCAAACTCCATCAAAGCATTCACCTAATGAACGCCTACACCAAGTTTAAACATTCTACCTCAATTAGAAGGAGAGTTATCGTGTTCCAAAGTCTCGACCAATCAAATTGCTTATCGCTCTGCTTACCCTCAACAGAAAATGTTCATTATCGAACTTAGTCAAGGTAATGATGTAATAATGCTATACACCAGGTGTCCTCACTCTCACTTAATTAGAACTAAAGTTATCGTGTCCCAAAGCATCAACCAATCAAACTGCTTATCTCTGCTTACCCTAAGCAGAAAATTCTCATCTTCGAAGTCCATCAAGGCATTCACCTACGCCAAGTGTGAACATTCTAATTCAATTAGAATGAGAGTTATTGTGTTCCAAAGTCTCGACCTATCAAATTGCTTATCACTCTGCTTACCGTGAGCAGAAAATGCTCATTATCGAACTTATTCAAGGTATTGATGTAATGAAACTATACACCAAGTTTCATCACTCTCACTTAATTAGAACTAAAGTTATCATGTCCCAAAGCATCAACCAATCAAATTGCTTATCTCTGCTTACCCTAAGCAGAAAATACTCATCTTCGAACTCCATCAAGGCATTGACCTAATAAACACCTACACCAAGTTTGAACATTCTAGCTCAATTAGAAAGGCGGGGAACAATTAACAATACAGTGTGTGATGCTCATACACGTAAGTGACAATTTAACTAGTGTGTGACAGTATGGGGATTTTTTTGTAATAAAAACCTCTATCACAAAAACTCTGAAATGATAGTGTTCCAGAGCCCCATAAATCAAATTACTTATCTGTTATTGAGAGAGAGAGGGAGGGATAGATTGGGCGTGGAAGGGGTGGGGGTGCATCTTAATTTCAATAATCCCTTCTATATAGTCCTTAAGCCGTGGACTGAAAGGAAGGCTTGGTACTCAGAGAAACCTTACAAGAATAAGCAAGCAATGCCACCCTTGTAAGCTACGACTCAATGGCAGACCTTATAATCTAAAGTGGGTGTGTAGACCACTTGGCCATCCGAAAAAATCTGATATTTACCTAGATCAAATCTAAAACAATCCAGGTTTTCATGACACCAAAACTAACATGTAGCCTCTATCGTGTTCACAAGGGCGGATGACTCTGAAACGGAATGTCACAAAAAGCTTAATATCGATAGGGTTCATCCTCTCATGACCTCACAAAACTACAGTCTCCATCGTGTTCACAAGGTTTTTGTTAAAGGGGTGACTACCCAACGAAAAGATGCGGAATGCTTAAAACCGAATCTTAAAAATTTAGTCTCTATGTGTTCACAAACCAATTATTCAATGACCAAGAGACAACATAATATGTGGGTGTATAAAATCATAAAGAACGGGAACAGCTGGACTTAAGCCACACCAAATATATTCAGAACAATATCAGATAAGGTACACATGTGTTAACAAAGTTACATTTATTTTCATCAAATAAATCTATTGTCCACTTTAATGATTAAAGATTTATAATACAGAACTATCTACAACTCTTCCTTTTTAAGCGCTTTCGCTTTAGAATGGGCCTTTTTCTTAGCATAAAATTCCTCTAGGTTTGCATCTGCCAAGCACTTAGCAACAACACCATATCCTAATGTACCATGTCCATCTCTCATTGTGAATCTCTGACCTTCTTCTAGTACCATTTTCTTCAAGAAGGTAAAAATAATTGTAGCATCTTCTCCTGGCATAACCATTTCTTTGGCAGGTATTTTCATGAAAGCTGGAGCATCCCACGTGGTACTAAAAACATGAGCTTGAAAGAAATTTAACATTGGTTTGGAGCGACCTCCTTCTTCTTTTGTCATGAGATAAATTTGGGCTTCAATGTGATTATACATCTTCATTGTTCCAACCTTCCCCATGATGAACCCTCTTTTTACATCATCCCGTTTTATATTCCTAATGAGTGCTCCTAGTTGATCCCCTGCCTCGGCTGTGTCAAGGTTTTTATGAAACATTTCTATGCCAGTTATGGTACTTTTAATAGTTCTATCAAAGCCCATGATTTCACATTCATCACCTTTTTTGATAACTCCTCGCTCAACTCGTCCAGTCACAACTGTACCCCTTCCTTGAATTGAGTGAGTTGACTCAATGGGCATATAAAATGGCTTCTCTAAATCACGAACTGGCTGTGGTAGATAGGTATCTACAGCATTTAATAACTCTTTAACTTTTTTTAAACCCAATTCTTCGTTTTGGCCATCCAGAGCATTCAGAGCAGATCCAGCAATAATTGGCGTTTCCTCAGCATCGTAGCCGAATTCTGCCAACAACTCCCTAACTTCCATTTCAACTAGCTCTAGCATTTCTGCATCTGCTTGGTCGGCTTTATTTAAAAATACCACAATTTTCTTAATACCGATCTGTTTAGCAAGCAAAAGGTGTTCCCTTGTCTGGGGCATGGTTCCGTCTGTAGCGGCTACAACAAGTATGGCGCCATCCATCTGCGCGGTTCCTGTGATCATGTTCTTGATAAAATCAGCATGGCCTGGACAATCAACATGCCCATAATGTCTACTATCAGTTTCATATTCTACAACAGCTGCGTTTATTGTAATGCCCCTCGATCTTTCTTCTGGTGCTCTATCAATGTCTTCATAACGGCTAAATTTCGCTTTGTTTTCATCCGACAGAACTCTCGTAATAGCCGCTGTCAAGGTTGTTTTACCGTGATCCACATGGCCGATTGTTCCGATATTCATATGAGGTTTATCTCTTGCATATGTCTTCTTTTGTGCAACTGGTTGGGCCAAACGCTTGGCGGAGTATGAAAATGATCTTTGTTGACATTGCCATAACTGTTTATAAGCCGTTGGAATTATTTTCGAATTCAGCGCTATCGAATTTTTAATAATCATTCGCCCCACTATCAAAGTCGCCATTTTCGGTGAATACTCTTTAGTAGTCATGAAAATATAACAGGCATCATAGTCACCAGTTCAGAATGATTGACAGCTGTCAGCCTTCACCTTGGAAATATCAAGGGAAATAATTTGAACAACTGGAGGCAGACCACATTGACTACCATACCCATTTTCCTGCTATTCTAGGCCATGAATTTAAAGTAGAAAAATATATAACCTTATTTTTATCGCTACCTTTGACAACCTGATTGGCTGTCACAGCAGGATTTCTTTTTATTTAGATTGGCCCCTAGCAAGATATTTTATTCAGATTGGTTGGTACGTGTCATACTAGCAGGATTTTCTTCGTCGGCCACGCAACAGGATTTTCTTTAGGTTATCCCCTCACGGCAGGGATTTTGCTCAGATTACCCCTCCCACCCCCCACCCCCTGCGGAATTTTTCTGTAGATTAGCGCTCACAGCACGATTTTGTAAAGATTGCATGGTCCCGTCTATATTAGTATTTATATTTTTAATTTTATAAATTATATGGACTCAATGATTTTATATAGATTGCCCCCTCACAGCAGCATTATTATTCGGATTAGCCCCCACAACAGGAGTTTTCTTTAGATTATCCATCACATCGGGAGTTTTGTTTAGTTTGGTGCCCGCACCATTATTCTCTATGGATTGCCCCCCACCCACAAGCAGGACTGATTTATATTGATTCAGATTGGCCTTCACAGCAGGATGTTCTATAGCCATGACAGCAGAATTTTTCGTCACAATAGCCACTATGTACGGTGGCCTGTTAGTGCCATACACTGATTTATACATTTCTCTTGAAATTTACCTCATATGAGAAATTGCATTGAAAACGGTGATAAATAAAAAAAAACATGAAAAAACTTTCCACCGCGGTGTAAATATTTTCTCACGCTGTGCGGTGAAAATATTTTCTCCGAGGTGGAAACATTTTCTCCGCGGTGGAAACATTTTCTCTGCAGTATTATTTTCTCCGCGGTGTAAATATTTACACCGCTGTGGAAAGGTTTTTCATGGTTTTTTGATCAAAAGTGTCTGTCGTTCAATGTTAATTGACGACCTCGGAAACGGACAGGAAAGTAACACCGATCATATTATCTTTATGCTTATACCTACGATCGATCGCTGTTGCAAATTCCCCACAAACATCGTTTAGTCCGCATAGTTACTAATGTTACTTATTTACATTAGTTTTTATGATAACAATGGAGAACGGCGGTGTTTGGCCCCGAGTGACTTTCCGCTCGTAATAACCCATTTGACGTCAGTCCTGAGTAGGCCATGCGATATGTGAAGAAAGTTTTAAAATTATACTTCTAGGCCGAATTCTCGGGGTGAATATCTTGTCACCTTCGCTCCCGCTAAACCGGTCTACAAATCGGACTATCAATAATCGTGCAATCAATATGTCAAAAAAGTTCTCCAATAAAATTTGCCAATTTAATAGTCAAGCTCGAAATAGGCTAGAAATCGATGACTTATTTCTTTATTATGGAAGCCTATTGCAGCCATTTCAGAAACTCGTCTTCTCTCCGCGAGAAGACGAGAAGTTGAGGGCGAGAAGTCGAGGGCGAGAAGACGAGGAAATAGGGCGAGAATACGAGGATCTCGCCCCGAGAACACGAGATTACTTTCACCTCGACTTCTCGCTCCCTTGTGTTCTCGCCTTTGAAAAACCTTGTGTTCTCGCACTCTCGCCCTCGACTTCTCGCCTTTGAAAAACCTCTACTTCTCGTGTTCTCGCCTTTGGGTTAATCTCGTCCTCTCGTTTCGTCACAATCTCGACTTCTCGTGTTCTCGCCTCGAAAGTGCAGTTTATACGCATGTCCACTGACTACCGTATCGGCATTTATATTTGGACATGGATTATAATAAACGGATATGTTTGAAGTTCTAGAAAATTTAATAGTCCTAAACCATTTTAATCTCTTCTTGCACAGATAGTATTGTATTCTGTAATCGATTTTAAGTCTTCAGTCGAATCTATCTTTGCTCTCTATCTTCAATTACCTTCATCAGGTTTTTTGATGCGTGGACTTGTCAGTGCTGTAGGATGTAGAGCCTGACTAGGGACAACGTATAGTCGTTCGAATGGGATTAAAAGAAGTTGGCTCTACGGTGGCCCAGTGAGTAGGACGTTTGCTTTCTAACTTCATCAAAGTTCATCGTGATTTTTCTGGCGATGGAATACAAATAACAGAGATCCCGTGTCCGGAATCTAAATGAAGTGTGAGCTACGATGGCTCAGTGAGTAGGACGTTTGCTCTCTTACTTCATCAAAGTTCTCCTGGATTTTTCGGTCGGGGTTCCTACTTAATTGTCAGTGGTATAGTCGTTTGAATGATATAAATAAAAAATGAGGTTCCTTGTCCGAAATCGAAATGTGAAGTGGGGTCTACGGTGGCTCAGTGAGTAGGACGTTTGCTCTCTAACTTCATCAAAGTACATCGTGATTTTTCTGGCGATGCCCACTCTTGTCAGTGGTGTAGGACGGAGAGCCTGGCAAGAGACAACATATAATCGTTCGGATAAAAATAACCAAGGTCCCATGTCTGGAAACTAAATGAAGTAGGAGCTACGGTGGGTCAGTGAGTGGGACGTTTGCTCTCTTACTTCAGTGGTGTAGAAGGAAAGCCCTCGCAAGGGACCACGTATAGTCGTTCGGATGGCATAAAAAAAAATGAAGTGGGAGTTAGGGTGGCTCAGTGAGTAGGACGTTTGCTCTCTAACATCATTAAAGTTCAGAGCCACGGTGGTTAAGTGGGTAAGACGCTGGCTTACTAAACTGGAGGTCACGTGCTCGATCCCTGAATTGGCCGAGAAAGTTCATCTGGGTTTTACGACGTTGTTTCCCATTGTCAGTGGTACAGGGCGGAGGGCTTAGCAAGGACAGCTGTCTAGTTGTTCGGATGGGACGAAAAACCGAGGCTATCAATTGGCGTGCACGTAATTGGCAGTTTGAATTTGATATAAGCAGAGGCCTTGGTGCCGCTGCCCGCGCACAATTTTCCGGAATCTAAATGAAGTGGGGGCTACGGTGGCTCAGTGCGTAGGACGTTTACTCTCTAACTTCATCAAAGTGCATCGTGATTTTTCTGGAGATGTCCTCCCTTGTCAGTTGTGTAGGATGGAGGACGGAGGGGGGGGGGCTGGCAACGGATAATGTGTAGTCGTTCAGATGGGACAAAAAAAACGGGGTCCCGTGTACACATTGGCGTCTGTCATTGAGTCAAGTGGCTCGGTTTCGATTCGCGTCTTGAACGTGACAATGATTAGGATCGTCTGTCCAATCGTGTGGGTTTTCTCCGGGTTCTCCTGATTTCCCCCACTGCTAAAGACCCCTAAACGCAAGCAAATTATTGAAATAAAATTGTTAGTTCCGGAATGACCTGGTTTGTGCCTCTCTTTCACACTCATTGGTGTCCAGGTACAAGAACCCTTTACCGTTAGAATTCGAAATAAGAGTAGGCCCTCGTAGCACACTGCATGGCGTATATTCACTTTCATTAGCTCAGGGATAGGTCGCCTGTCGAACCACGTTTTTTTTTCCGGGTCCTGAAAGTGTGCAGTCTGGTAGTTGATTCTGTGAGATAAATAACATTTGTCCCGAATCCGAATCATGAGAACTTTGCGGTTATATCGATATCAATAAAATCAAGTTGTGTATGTATGTAGGTAGGTATGGATGTATGGATGTTCGCCCATCACGCTTCGTGGTCATGAGAACTTTGTGGTGATATCTATATAAATAAAATCTAAGTGTGTGTGTGTATGTATCTTTGTATGTATTTTCGCCCATCACGCTTCGTCGCCGCGCTCTACCACCCACTCATTATTATGTGGTATTAAATTAACCATCATCACAACATGAATGTTTTAGGCCATTGAATTCGGGTCCCATGCGAATTGCGCTTCGTCGCCGCGCTCCACCCCCACAATCTCGTATCAAATTAAAAAGCACGACCACGTGAATGTTTTAGGCCATCGAATCTGGGCTCCAGGCGAATTTGGGCCAAGAACGAATTGGGCCTCGGACGAATTTTGGTTCCGTGCGAATTTGAGCATTGGGCGAATATGGGCCACTGGCAAATTTGGGCTACGAGTGTACTTGGACCAAGGGCGAATTTAGGCTCCGGGCGAGTTTGGGCACGTGTAAAGTCGGGTCTCCTACGAGTAATTTGATAATGCATCATAGAAAGGTAATGAACATTGATATGTTCATAACTTATTCATCCGTTAATTCGAAAACATAAACATCTTGGAGCCACCAAAGCTAGTTAAGAAGTTATTATGTGCGCAGTGAACCTAAAATAACCCAATTTTCCCATATTTTTGGTACGTCTATGGTAATATATGTCGACAAAACAGCAAAGAAGGCTTCTGGAATTTTGCAGTCTAGTAGTTCATTCATCCCTTGATTCTGTGAAATATTAAGTATGCTGCCACCAAAGCTGGTTTGAATACTTTTTGATGCAGGTACCCTTTTCTGCGCGCTCACTTAGTCTAGTGTGCGACATTTTAGTTTGTGTACAGTAATGACTTATTAATGTGGTTATTTTTTGTCTAGTACTTATATTATGTATTAATGTGTTTTAAAACGTTATTTTCTAATACAAAGGTAACAATTATTATCTGTTTTTATTGACGTTTGGCGTGGTTTTGAATCCCCGGTTGTACGTGACAAGGAGTAGGGTCGCCTGTCCAACCTCATGGGTTTTCTCCGGGTCCTCCAAGTTTCCCCCCACTGCTAAAGACCCCTATGCGCAAGCGAATTATTGAAATAAAATTAAAAACCATATGTTAGTCCCGAAATGACCTAGTTTGTGTCGAGTGGAGGTAATCCCATTTCTCTCTTTTTCTCCTTCACAACTGACATTGGTAAACCCCGCAAGAAAATTTGAGATAAACTTTGATGAAATGAAATGAAATAGGGTTTAACGTCCTACTGTTCTGCTCCGACTGGGCTAATGAAGACGGGCATATATCACCCACGGTTTCGGGGCTATTCTTGGTTCGAATATGC